TCCTCCTCCTCCTCCTCCCTCTTCTCCGCCTTCTCCTCCTCCTCCGGGCTGCCCCGCGAGACGGTGCACCGCCAGTGCTGCGCGCCCTGCCGGCCCCCGCGCGACCGGGGGGCCTCGGCGGGCCTTCGAGCTCCACGACGTGGACGCCTCGCCCCCGCCGCCCGCCCTGCAGGCCCCGCACCTGGCGGGCACCGCCGCACTGGTGATGCTGAGCTCCCCAGACCTCCAACGCATTGAAAAAATCAAGACGGAGGTTTTTTTCGATGTTCGGCCTCTAGCGGCCCTCGCCCGGCCCCGGGACCGTCAAAACACGACTCAGGATGAAAAGCGGGTCCTGGGGAATGGGTCGAGACTTCCAGGGACTCCGTATTGAAAATTACCCTGGCGACGTACCCAACCCTTGCGCAAAAGCGGGGCGCAAATAGTTTAGGATACTTTATAAGGGGGCTATGACGGAGCGAGGGTTACATATGTCTGCAGACGGCATTCGGGAGACTCGCAGGACACTGGCTACAGGAAAAGGGCTTGATAAAGCTGATGAGTTACAATTCCTGAGCACTCCTAGCCACTTCGAAAACGGGGATCACAGCAGGCTTCAAAAGTGGCGACAGTTTCACAGATCGCAGCCCCCCAGGCATGGCGAGGTCTCATTTGGGTCCGCGCGTGGCGTCACTGTGCTGGGCCCCCCAGCAGGCCTCGAAAGTGGCGACAGTTTCACAGATCGCAGCCTCCAGGGGATGGCGAGGTCTCATTTGAATCTGCCCGTGGCGTCACTGCGCTGGGCCCCCCAGCAGGCCTCGAAAGTGGCGACAGTTTCACAGATCGCAGCCCCCCAGGGATGGCGAGGTCTAATTTGAATCTGCGGTGGGTACCCACTGTGCTAGGCCCCCCAGCAGCCCTCGAAAGTGGCGACAGTATCACAGATCGCAGCCCCCCAGGGATGGCGAGGTCTAATTTGAATCTGCGGTGGGTACCCACTGTGCTGGGCACCCCAGCAGGCCTCGAAAGTGGCGACAGTTTCACAGATCGCAGCCCCCCAGGGATGGCGAGGTCTAATTTGGGTCCGCCCGTGGCGTCACTGTGCTGGGCCCCCCCAGCAGGCCTCGAAAGTGGCGACAGTTGCCTAATATTTACACAGAACGCACCCCCCCAGCAATGGCGAGGTCTCATTGTTTGGAATCTGCCCGTGCCCTCACTGAGATAAAATACTGTGCTGGGCCCCCCAGCAGGCCTCGAAAATGGCGACAGTTTCACAGATCGCACCCCCCAGGGATGGCGAGGTCTCATTTGAATCTGCCTGTGGCGTCATTGTGCTGGGCCCCCCAGCACGCCTCGAAAATGGCGACACTTTCACGGATCGCAGCACCCCCAGGGGTGGCGAGGTTTAATTTGAATCTGCCCGTGGCCCTCATTGTGCTGGGCCCCCCAGCAGGCCTCGAAAATGGCGGCAGTTTCACAGATCGCAGCCCCCCATGGATGGCGAGGTCTAATTTGAATCCGCGCGTGGCCCTCACTGTGCTGGGCCCCCCAGCAGGCGTCGAAAATGGCGACACTTTCACGGATCGCAGCCCCCCAGGGGTGGCGAGCTCTAATTTGAATCTGCGCGTCGCCCTCACTGTGCTGGGCCCCCCAGCAGGCCTCGAAAATGGCGACAGTGTCACAGATCGCAGCCCCCCAGGGATGGCGAGGTCTAATTTGAATCTGCGCGTCGCCCTCACTGTGCTGAGCCCCCCAGCAGGCCTCGAAAATGGCGACAGTTTCACAGATCGCAGCCCCCCCAAGGATGGCGAGGTATAATTTGAATCTGCCCGTGGCCCTCACTGTGCTGGGCCCCCCAGCAGGCGTCGAAAATGGCGACAGTTTCACAGATCGCAGCCCCCCAGGGATGGCGAGGTCTAGTTTGAATCTGCGCGTCGCCCTCACTGTGCTGGGCCCCCCAGCAGGCCTCGAAAATGGCGACAGTTTCACAGATCGCAGCCCCCCGCAGGCAAGACAGGAAGAGGCAGGGAGGGAGGAGGAGGAAGGAAGGAGTGGAGACCACACTGCCCTATTCAAAACGAATACCCAACCAAGGAGGGTTGGAAAAAACACGACATCGGAACTCTGGGTCGGAGGAGGAAATGGGTACCCATATCTCTACCCTTCGCTCGTTTTCCTTTCTTTTTGGGCCTCCTGGGCCTCCCTCGTCGCCCACGCTGGATTCGCTTCGAAATCCTGGTCAGAGCGCACCCCAGGAGAGGTCCAGGGAGTGGCGGTACGAGTACCTTTTTGGTTTCCCCAGGTGATGCTGAGCTCCTTGCTCGCGTTCGCGCTCAACCTGCCAGGGGCCCTTAGGCCAGAGCCGCGGATCATCTCAGGGCTAGGGGGGGTCAGGGGTGGCTCCCGACTATCGTGTCTCGGGGGCCCAGAACGGAGCGGTCCCAGACTGGAGCAATCCCGGATGATTCGGGCGTCCAGCCACTGCCGAATCATTGCGGCTTGGGGTGGACAGGAGTAACTCCTGATTCGTGCCTCGGGGGCTCGACCCGAGGTTAGCCCAGACCGGCGCTACCAAAGATAGCTCAACTCGACTACACGTAATGAGTGACCCTTCGCCGGAGTGACCTTTGGTGCGGGCCCATGGGGGTTCCCAATCGCCGACCGCGAGGCGGCAGTGGCGTCTCGCGCGCTTGCAATGGCCCCCCCCCGCGGACCCCCAGAAGCCGCGCACCAAAGGTCACTCTTACCCAGGGTCACTCTTACGCGTAGCCGATCAATCAGGAGGCCCCACGGAGAAGGTACAAATTGTACCTTCTCCGTGGGGGTACAAATTGTACCTTCTCCGTGGGGCCTAGGTACCATTAGAAGGTACAGACTGCACCTCGGCCTTTGCGCCGCGGGGCGGGGCGGCGCGCGAGCCTCTCGCGGGGCACAGGCGCTCGGCTCTGGGGAGGAGCGCGTGCGGCGTGGCGCGCGCCGGCCGGCGAAGGACGTGCTGTCAGAAGGGGCAGAGACGCAGACACCATGAATATCGTCGATTCCCCGGAGAGTCTGGGGAAATCTGGGAAGTGGGGGGGAGGACAGAAGCCCAGAAGATGTGGGGAAATAGGGGGGATCTTTGTGTTTGTGTGTATTCATTTGTGAGTCCCAGGGCCCCCTTCAATGCTGCCCCCCGCCCTGGGAATTGTGCACCGAAGAAGCCCTGGCGGGGAGCTTGCGGAAGCTTCCGGGTCGACCCAAAATGGTGGTCCAGCGACAAGGGGGTGCATGGTGAAATACAGTCGGCCCGGATCAGTAGATCGGTTTTGCCAGCTCAAGGGTACCCTTGTGTCCTGCGCCTCGCGACACGTGCCTTCTTACGCTCCTGTGGCGATGTGGCTTTCGGAGGGGTCTTGTGTCCTCTCGCGTGTCCTGTCCAATCAAGGCCGACTGTAGATATGGTGCAATCGATTTGTGGGGTTGCAATACATTTGGGGCGTGCAACACATTCGGGGGCGCAAATGTATTGCTGGATTTTCGCGTGCAAAGCATTACTTGCAATGCGCAATGCAATGCAAAACAATTTCTGGCGCAATCCATTTGCAATCCAGTTGCCCCAAATCTATTGAACCACCCCTTTGCAGCTGGACCCCCCTTTGGGTCACCCAAAAGCTTGCGGAAGCAATCCATGGGTCCGTATCAGAAATTCGAAGCATAACATGCGTAAGCATAGGCTTCTGGATGTCCGCACGGATTTCTTGGATCAGCGCTGTCGTCCTTTCCGCGTGCCAGGGAGGAGGTGGTGCAGCGCCGATCAAAGCAATCCGCGCGGATGACCTAACATCTATGTTTATGTTGTTGTAGTGGTTGTTCTTCTGGAGATGCAGATTTGTGTTGGCAATTTGGTCGGTCTGCGACCAGCTTGGTTCACGCTGCACTGGTCGACAGGGCATTGCACAGGCGTTCGAATGTGAGTCGCCGGAACTTAGATAGGACACCTCGACATTGACATCTAATCACCCCGGCTCTGCGGTGTGCGACGTTCTGGTTGATCTGATCGCGACAGGGGTCGCAATCGGCAGCAGTGGTCCTAGGATTTCAGTCGGTGGGCCTCTGGTCGGATCATGCGCTCGGGGGTGGCCATCCCCCCCACGCGAGGTCGAAGACTGAGGTCGGAGTTGTGGTGCATTTCTGCTGGCTCCGCCATGGTGCTCACGCTGGCAGGCTCGCTGAAAACCGTGCTCTTCGTTGTCCTCACGGCCTTGGCCACCGGCAGCCCGCTGTCTCCGGAGGCCTCCGTGGGGTCGGTGCTCGCCGCGTTCGGCGTGGCCCTCTTCAAGCTGGGCAGGCCTCGCCCGCCGCGACGAGGCTGCGGGCAGGATGGGTGTCCACGTCCACGGCACCCAGCAGTTTTGGGCTCTCTTCCCCGGACACACGAGGGCGCAGTGGATGTGGGCAAGGACCTGGCCCCCAGAGGCTGGATGCTTGTCCTTACCCCTGGCGCCTCGGCCTCCTGGCGCTCCCTCCCTGGGAGTCCCGGGGCGCGGTGGGGAGGGGGCACAGATCTGGGCCCGCGGAGGCGCGGCCGTGTCCGAGCGCGTGGAGATGCAGCAGGGCCTCGTCGCCGCCGGGGGAGCCCCTCCGGCGGCCGCCGCCCCTGGCGCTGGCTGAGGCGGCCCGCCAGCGCGCTGCACCGGAAAGAGGCGCTGCGGGACCCGCGCTGCCCCGGGGGCGGCCAGGGAGGGGGCCGATGCCTCATTTTGGAGGCGTGCGGAGATCATGGCGGCGGCCATGATATCTTCCTGCATGTCATGGCCCCCGTTCTTACGGTGGAGGCGTCTGTTGAGGAGCAGTCCCAGGAGGCGCCAGACTCGGAAGGGTTCCTTGTCCAATGAGGGCGGCGGTGATGTCCATGGCCGATCCACGATTGGGGTTACACTGGCTTCCAGACCCTGGATTCCTCATCCAATCGTTCCTTATCCAATGCTCCCACCGTAATTATCTCAACACGCCCCCTTGCCGCCCCTGGGCTGCACACATGCTCAGCGCCACGTGATTTGCGAGCCCCCCTCTTGGATGCCCCCCCTCCTGGACGCCCCCGGGCTGCGCCGCTCGCGGTCGCCCGCGGCGGATCCCTGCAGCGCCCTTCGCGGCAGGCTCTTCAGGGCCACCCATCTGACCTTTCCCCTTTGGGGCATTCTCTTCTTCTTCCTCCTCCTCCTCCGCATCCTACTCCAACTTCTCCTCCTCCTCCTCCTCCTCCTCCTTCTCCAACTCCTCTTCCTCCTCCTCCTCCTCCTCCTCCTCCTCCTCCTCCTCCTCCTCCTCCTCCTGCTCCCCCTGCCCCTCCTTCTCCTCCTCCTCCTCCTCCTACCTCCTCCTCCTCCTCCTCCTCCATCCTTCCTTCACCTACCCTCCCCTCCACCTCCTCCTCCTCCTCCTCCTCCTCTGTCCCCCCTCCTGCTCCCCTCGCGCCTCCCTCCCTCCTCCGACTTCCCCTTCTCCTCCTCCTCCCCCTTCCGTCCACCCCCCCATCTCCCTCCCTGTCCTCCTCCTCCCCCCTCCCACCTCGTCATCGCCTCTTTGGGCCTCCCGGGAGGCGCTCGTCGCCACAGCTGGCCTCGCCTCGAGACACCCTGGTCAGAGCGCACCTCGGGAGAGGCCCCGGGGAGCAGCTATGCTGGTATCTCTATTTTCGGGGGAGAAAAAGATACGGATACGTGTTGTCCCCCTTCGTTTTCGGCCTTTCCTGGTCCTCCTGGGAAATCCTCGTTGTCACCGCTGGATTCGCCTCGAAATTCTGGTCAGAACGCACCCCAAGAGAGGTCCGGGGACAACACGTATCCGTATCTTTCCGCCCCCCAATATATTTGGCATCGCTCGGACGCGTGCATTTTTTCTCGGCGAGAACCATCGAGGACCATCCTGGACCATCGAGCCAAAAGAGCACGCACGAGACAGACAAATGCACGGGAAATGGACGTCCGAGCGACGGCAAGTGTATGGTTTTCTCCAGCTCGCGGCGTGCTTGAGGTGTCATTCGCGGCTTTCATTTCAGGGTCGTTCCTTCCCTCTCCCCCCTGCCGGCTTTCCGCCGCCACGGACACATGTTCTAGGCCTCCCGGATGGGGTCCGAGCAGATGGGGTCGGAGGCTCGCGCCGCATTGCCGATGCATCGCCGATGCTGCTCGATGCGGAGCCCGATTTACCTTCACGCCGACGCCGCCGATGCACCGCGCCGATGCATCGGCGATGCGGCGCGATCCTCCGACCTCGCCTACTCGGACCCCTCGCAGGGGGCCTCTGCATGTGGGGCTGGGTCGGGGGAACATAAGACTCGGGTAAGCCGGAACTCGGGCTTGCCGACGTCTCTTGACGAGCGCGTCCTGGAGTTTGACGGTCCAGTGTTCGTGGGGTGTTTGCAGTGGGAGCTCGCGTCAAATTGCAGATGGCGCCTCGCCATTTTTATGATGGACCCCGTCAGGCCAACCCGCGTCCCCCGTACCCGAGTCTTACTCACCACCCACCAAACCACCCCAACCCAACCCGAAGGCTCAGATTTACCCTCGATTTCCAGTGTGGGGGGGGGTCGGGAAACATCGAAAAAATACATGTGGAACCCTTACCCCCCCAACCCGAAATTCGGGTCTTCGGGTTGGGTTGGGGTGGTCTGGTAGGTAGTCACTTACGTCTCCCCGATTGGGGTGACGGGCCGCTGGCGGTGTGCGGCCGCCCAGGCTCCCCGCCCGGGGCCCCCGGGGGCCGACAGAAAGAGCCACGCGGCTCGGAGTGCTGGCCCCGTGGAGGTCGCCCCCCGTCCAGGGCCCGCTGCCGGGGCCCCGCCCCCACCTGTCGAATCGTGTACGTACGGGCCCTAGCCGTAAGTCGGGCATGTCCCTCCCCAGACCCCCTCGAGGTATGACAAAATCACGACGGGAGGTTTTTCGCTATTTTTGGCCTCTGGAAGCCCTTACCGGCCCTCGGGACCGTCAAAAAACGACTCGGGACGAAGAACCGGTCCCGGGGAAAGGGTCCAGAACGCTGGGGGTCGACGTCATGAAAAATTCATGACGTCGGGGGTCTGGGTCTACAGGGGGAATATTGAATTAGCCTGGCGAAGGACCCAACCATATGCAGTTTTGAGTACCGTCTTTGTGAGCAACGCGTCCGGTGGGGTTCCCTGTAGGGCCACGAAACGCTGCCCTGGGTGCGGGAACCGCATGCGAACACCCCCACTGGGGCCTTCGGTGGAGCTTCCCATGGGGCCACGAAGCGCTGCCCTGGGTGGGGGAACCGCATGCGACCCCCCCACTGGGGCCATCGGCGGAGCCCCCTATGGGTGCGGGAACCGCATGCGAACACCCCACTGGCGCCATCGGCGGAGCTCCCTATGGGGCCACGAAGCGCTGCCCTGGGTGGGGGAACCGCATTCGACCCCCCACACTGGGGCCATCGGCGGAGCTCCCTATGGTGACACGAAACGCTGCCCTGGGTGGGGGAACCGCATGCGACCCCCCCCTCACTGGGGCCATCGGCGGAGCTCCCATGGGGCCACGAAATGCTGCCTTTGGTGGAGGAACCGCATGCGACCCCCCCCACCGGGGCCATCGGCGGAGCTCCCTATGGGGACACGAAACGCTGCCCTGGGTGGGGGAACCGCATGCGGGCACCCCCACCCCCCCACTGGGGCCATCGGCGGAGCTCCCTATGGGGCTACGAAACGTGTGAGGGGTGTGCCGAGAGCAGAGGCAAGGAGGGGGAGGAGGGAGGAGGGAGGGGGCAGCAGGAGGAACGCGGGGCACCGTCTCTTCAAAACGATGACCCAACACCACAGGATGGTTGGGAAACATAGTAAAGAATAGTGAGGGGACTTTTTGTTTGAGTATTTCTGGGCATCTTTTGAGTATTGTTTGAGTATTTGTTGGACATGTTTGATTTTTCGTTCAAAATCTCCCTGTAGGGGGACAGGCCCGACCTAACCCTAGCTGCACGAGTTGCATGTGCAGTCGGGGCGCCGAAGAAGGAACCCCTCGTTGTTTGGGAGGGAGTCCGTTTTCCTCAGTTGTTTTGCTGCCTGCCTAAAGTATAGCTTCGGGCTTCCGATCGGAAATCGAAGCTTCACGTACGGGAAGCAGGGGCCTCGTTTCTGATTTATCGTACCTCCGATCAACGCCCCAACTGTATGTGCCTTCCCCTTGTTCCCGCTCGCCTTGCCTCTGCACATGTTCCCTTGTCTGCTGTGGCTTATGGCATGCAGCTGCAACTGCACGCAGCGCATCGGCACAACGGTGTATGGTAGGGCGCACGGCGTTCGCAGTTCGTCTGGGAAACTTGTCGCCCACAAGTTGCGTTTTCGTTTCGGGGTAAAAGATAAACTGCACCAGGGAAAACCCCAATCAGTGGATGGTTTTCGCTGAGGAGGTCGACCGGGAACCCAGAACCCACCGAAATCGAACCGGAACCAATAACTGGGAACCCGGGAACCCGGACCCGGGAACCCAGCCTGCTACCAAAATCGGCGGGGTATTTTCGCCAGATCTTTCAATTTCCGCTAGGACCCCTTCAGTGACGAACAGACAACACGCACCCGTACCCATAGGTGGGACGGAGGGGCTATGGGTGCGTGTTGTCGGATGGGGGTCCCCGCTCGAAAGGAAGCGCCCCCCAGGATCCGACAACCCGTACCCATACCCATAGCCAGTGCTCCTCCCAGCGTTCCCCCTATGGATATGGGTGTGTGTTGTTCGTTCGCCATTTAGTGCAAGCACCGACTGGGGAATTTCCGCTCGGACCCCCTCAGTGCAAGCACAGATTGGGGAAGATCGCCAGTGCAGGGCGCCACATGCAAACCCTACCCCTACCCCCCACGATTTCTGAGGGGGGGGGGGAAAGGTAGGGTTCGCATGTGGCGCCCTACACTGGCGATGTTCCCCAATCAGTGCTTGCACTGAAGGGGCCCTAGCGGAAGTTCCCCAATCGGTGCTTGCACTGAAGGGGTCCTAGCGGAAGTTGAAAGATCTGGCGAAGGTTTCCCGCCGATTTTGGTAGCAGGCTGGGTTCCCGGGTCCGTTTTCCCGAGCACGTTGGGACGCTCGTCGGGTCCCCCGAGGCGGGGCTCCCGCCGCCGCCCGTGGCCGGCCGAGCCGCCCTCCTCGTCGTCCTTTTCCTCCTCGTCGCCGTCATCCTCCTGCTCCTCTTCGTCCTCGTCGTTCTCCTCCTCGTTGTCGTCCTCCTCCTCCTCGTCGTCTTCGTCCTCCTCCTCCTCCTCCTCCTCCTCCTCTTCCTCGTCGTCCTCCTCCTCGTCCTCGTCGTCGTCCTTCCTCCTCCTCGTCGTCCTCCTGCTCCTCTTCCTCTCGAGCATGTTGGGAACGGACGCGGTCGGCAGCAGCAGGTCCACAGAGACGAACCGGGCAGAGAGCCCTCTGCAGCTAGCAGCTCGACCTCGTTGCTGGGCACGCTGAGGGTTCCCCGTGCCATGCCATATCCCTTGCTCGCTCTCTCCGTGTCCGATAGTGCCTCTGCCTCTGAATATGTGCCCCTCCTCCTCAGCATGATCCCTCCTGCTCCTCTTCTTCCTCCTCCTCCTCCTGCTCCTCCTCCTACTGCTCCTGCTCCTCCTCCTCCTCCTCCTCCTCCTCCTCCTCCACCCCTCCACCACCTCTTGCTCCTCCTCTTCCCTCCCTGCTCCTCCTCCTCCTCCTCCTACCTGCCTCCTCCTCCTCCTCCCTCTCCTCCTCCATCCTCCTCCGCCTCCTCCTCCACCTCCACATCTCCTCCCTGCTCTTAGCTCCTCCTCCTCCCCCCTCCTCCTCCTGCTCCTGCTCCTCC